AAGAAATACTCAGCCTGTGTGTTGGTGTGTATGCATGGCAGTGCACACATGTGTGTTACACACAAACACACAGACACAAGCAGTCCTAGCTTCAGCCTTGTCTTATGGGAGAGAATATCTGAAGATGACACTGGTTCTCCATCCCCTCTCCTCTCCACGGCTCCAAACTTTTCCTATTTTATGCAGTTAGTAGAGTTTAACACCTTTGGTGCAGTTGGGTTCCTAAACTTTAGTTAACTTTTGTCTTCAACAAATTTTTGCTCATAGTACTTTTGTATGTAATTTCATTATACTCCACTAACTTGATCATACATTGATTAAACTATCTGCTTGAATTTTCATTTTAAATATCATTATAGCAAATAAGAAGTGTCCTGTGGCTCATGAAGACCACCTTGAAGGGTCATCCTTGCACAATATCATGCAAACAAACTTTTTATGACACTACTGAGTCTTTCTTACAGACAAGTAATCATGCATACTGTGGATGAATATGTTAAACACTAAAGTTTTGTACTTATTGCTCTTCCTATTTTTCCTTAGCCTTCAGAAAAGTCTTCTGTACTAGGAATAAAAATATTATTATTATTATTATTATTATTATTATTATTATTATTATTATTGAGATTGAACACAGGGGTGCTTAACCACTGAGGCACATCCCCAAGCTTTTTATTTAAATTTTGAGACAGGGTCTTGCTAAGTTGCTTAGAGCCTCCTAAAGTTACTGAGGTTAGTCTAAAACTTGCAAACCTCCTGCCTCAGTCTCCAAGTAGCTGGAATTACAGTCATGTGCCACTTTCCCAGGCTACACATAAAAATATTTTAAAAGAATGGATGAGATTATGACTTTACACTCAAAAAAGCTCAAAAACTACTAACAAACAAATTGTGGTAACACATGTACACATACTCATACACACACTATACACGTGTAGGATTTATTCCAGGAATACAAGATTGGTTCAGCATTTGACAATCAATCAATATAATTATACCAAATTAATAGAATAAAGACCCCTTTAAAGTAAATGCTTAACAAACTAGGAATAGAAGGGAACTTCCTCAGTCTGATAAAGAACATAAAAAAAAAAAACACAGCAAATGCCACAGTTAATGGTGAAAGATTGAAAGCTTTACTCCAAAACAAGGAACAATTAAAAAAAAAAAAGAGAGAGAGAGAGAGAGAGATGACTCACATTACCACTACTAGTCGGTTGTATATTGAAGGGTATGCATATGCACAAGAGTTAAGCAAAAAAGAAAAGGCATTAAGCATAGAAAGGAAAAAGTAAAAGTATCTTTATTTGCAGATAATATATTTTTGTATATAGAAAGTCCTAAGGAATCCTCCCACTCCCAACCCCACCCCCAAAAAACCTACTAGATCTAATAAATGCATTCATCAAAGCTACAGGATTTTTAAGATAAATACTTAGAAATTGAATCTCTGTAAATATGAAATGATCCAAAAATAAAACTTAAGAAAACAATTCCACTTACAATAGCATAAAAAGAATAGACCAACTGATATGACAAGAAAACTATGGGTCAATGTCCGTACAGAAATCTTCAACAAAACACTAGCAAACTGATTCCAACAACACATTAAGAGAATTGTGCACCATGACTAAATAACTATTTTCCAGAAATAAAGGGTGTTCAACATAAGAAAGTGATCAATGTAATAATTAAATTCATAGAGAAAAGGCAGGAAATGACATCATCTTCTCCATAGATGCAAATAAGACCCTGAGAAAAAAATTCAACATCATTTCATGATAAAAAGACTCCAGAATCTAGTAATAAAAGAAAACTTCCTTTGCATAACAGAGTAAGTTATTAAAACCTACAGCTAACATCATATTCAAGGGTAGGAAACCTAAATGCTTCTCCCTAAGGAAAAAACAATGAAGCCCACTTTTGCCAATGCTGTTCAGCTTTGTACTTGAAGCCCTGGATACAGCAATTGGGCAAGGAAAAAAAATGACAGGCATACAAATTGGAAATGAAGAAGTAAAACTATCTTTTTTGGCAGATGCTATGATTCCACATAGGAAATTCTAGAGTCGATGCACAAAGAAAACCACTAGCTAGAACTAATAAATTAATTCAGAAAAGTTGCAGGATAAAATAACAACACACAAAATCATATGTGATTCTCTATACCAAAAGGAAATTAAGAAAACTATTCCATTTATAACAGTATCTATGAATAAATTTAATCAAATAGGTGAATACCTTATAAATTGAAAACTAGAAACATTGCAGCAAGTAATTCAAGTAGACATCCTGTGTTTATAAACTAGAAAACTTAATATTGATAAGATGGCAATATTCCCCAAAGCAATCTACAGATCCAGCACAACACTTATCAATAATCACTTATCCAATAATCATTTCTTCAGAAGTGGAAAGTCAGTCCACAAATTACTATCAAACTTCAAAGGGTCTCAATAGACAAAATAGTCATGAAAAAGAACAAAGCTGGAGAACTCACACTTCCTGGTTTCTAAATTGACAACAAAACTACAGTAATCAAAACAGAATGGTACTGGCATATTACAGGCAAAAAGACCAATGAAAACAGAACTAGAGTCCAGAAGTGGACCTAAATATCTATGGAAAATTTATTTTCAGAAATGGTGCTAAGATCACTCAATGGGAAAGAATAGTCTCTTCAAGAAATGTTGCTGGTAAAACCGGGAACCAGATGCAAAATAATTAATTTGAACCCCTACCTTATTTCATATATAAAAATTAAATAAAAAATGAATCAATGGCTTAAATTTAAGAACAAAAATCCACAAATTCCATAGGAAAAAAACACAGGTAAATTCTCATGACTTCAAATTTGGCAACTGATTCTTAGATTTAACACCAAAAACAAAAGAAAAAATACATAAGCTAAAATGCTCCAATTAAAAACTACTGTGTCTCAGAAAATGCCATGGTTGGGTGTGCTCTGAGTCTCTCCCAAAGGGTCACTGTTATTATAAGCATCGTTCCCAGGGTTGTACTGTTGTTAAAATGGTTAACTTAGCAATATGAATTTTACCTCAATTTGAAAATGAATAAAATACTTAGTAACAAATGTAATAAAAAAGTGAAAGACTTGTAGACTGAAAACTACAAATATCATCAGAAGAAAGTTGAAGAAGGCCTAAACAGTTGAAAATCATGGGATAGAAAACTTAACATTGTGAAAATGCCAATATTCCCCAAATTGGTCTACAAATTTTGTGCAATCTCTATCAAAATCCCAGCTAGCTTTATGGTGGAAATTGAAAAGTTAATTCTAAAATGAATATGAAAATGCAGGAGTCCCAGAAGAGTAAAAACTAATCTTGAAAAATAAAGTGCTGGAGGCCTCACACTTTTCAATTCTGAAATTTACTAATAAAGCTATGGTCATCAAGGTAGTAGGGTATTAGTGTTATAAGAATAGACATACAGACCAATGGAATAAAACTGAAGAGTCCAGAAATGAACTCATACACTTTTTTTTTTAGAGAGAGAGAGAAATTTTCTTTTTCTTTTTTTTTTTTTTTTTTAGTTTTCGGTGAACACAACATCTTTATTTTATTTGTGTGTGGTGCTGAGGATCGAACCCAGTGCCCCGTGCACACCAGGCTAGCGTGTTACCGCTTGAGCCACATCCCCAGCCTCTGAACTCATACACTTATGATCAACTTTCTCTTATTGAAATAAGGGAAAAAACTAATGGGAAAAAAGTAATCTTTGGTGACCCTGGAATACGTCTCTCAGAGACACCCCAATCTTATGAATTACAGGAGAACGCTGAACACTTATTTTTTAACATGCTTCAAAGAACGTTTCTAGACTCACTAGAGGAAGATGCAAGGAATGCAGTCTCTTATCTCCACACACACCAACTGATGGACATCTAACCTCAGCTTCAGGATGAAGTGACAGATATCGGACTTCATCTTAAAGAATGCTAGTGAGCTTTAGCCCTTTTTATAGAAATATAGGGAAAAGACTCTAAATCTGTATGTCAAAATCAGAATTTGAGATGTTACATATTTCATAAAAACCTTTCTAGACCAAATGGGTATCTGTGAATAGTTGAAAATTTTTGTTTTGCTTTATTTGACTCGATTTTTGTTTTTAATTATTTAATTTCTGGTCACCAAATTTAAGAATTCTAATACTTTTCTACACTTAAGGGAAAAAAGATTAATAGCAAAGCTCCAGAATCATTCAAATTAAAAAATAAACAGTTCTCCACTCCAGATGGCATGTTCCTTACTCTACATTTCTTCCTGTATATTATGTACTGAAAGAAAACATATTTCTCCTTGGTCATCTGTTTTTAAGATGCCAAGTTTACATAGCCACTTACATCTAAATTTTTTGGGGGGGAGGAAGGTGCTGGGAATCAAATCCAGGGCTCCTTGCATGATCTGTGCTGCTGGGCTACATCCCTAGCCTTCACTCATTTTTAAATGTAAAAACAAAGAAGCTTGATAAAGAAAATCTCTAAATATTTCTATAATGGAGTAAAAATATCTATTAAGAGTCTTTACTTAAATGCTTGGCTAACCATTAAGTCAGAAGTCTGGCAAGTGTGGAAACTCATTAAGTTAATTCTCAATTCTCAGATTTCTGCATTTCTATATTTAATGCCAAAGTTAAGTGTATTTAATAATCTTATGACTCAAAAATTAATTGTTATAAGATAAATTATGTACATGTAAATAGCCAGTTTTAAATGTCAATCCTCAGCAATGGTATTCATTTAATGAGATAAAAACTCTTAACTTCTTTTAATGGTTGTCTAATACATCTTTACAAAAAGTCCTTTTTCACTATGGGAAGCAAGCACATCCACAGTTCAGATCCTTGGTGATTGAAAAAATCTTGCTCAGCATTTTTATCATATACTTTGCATTGAAATGTGATTTACATGCACAAAAATTAAAATGTGGATAGCCACTCATACAGAGATAACTTCAAAGAAAACCCAGTCTGCTCACCTTGGGGCGCTATCAAAGTTCTTCCATTCTCCTGACACCAACCAACTGGCTGGACATAAGGACTATTAACATCACACCTGCAAAAACAGGATCCTGTGTTAGATCCCATATTACTCAATCCCAGAGAAAGAATCCAAGAGTAATTGCTATTCTAGATATTAAGAGATATCACAGAAAACAGTACTTCATAGCTAAAGGGAAAGATAAGTAATTTTTAGTACCATATTTGTAAGCTGAGTGACTAAACTTCTCTTTTGCATAACCTTCTTGAAACTTCATAGCATAAAATAAAGGGGGAAAGACCTGAAGTGTTAGTGATATCCTCAGAGAGCAAACACTATACCTTTTCTACCAGTTTTACTTACAGTAATGGAAAATATTAATAGGACAGTCTAAATGGTAATAGGACAGTCCAGATTCTAGATAACTACATTTTTCCTCTTCCTCCTTTCAAAGAACCCAGAACATTCCACCAAAGACACATACAACAATTATTCTATGCTTTACTTCTTGGTTCAAAAGGAAAAACAAGACTCCCTTCATGCAAATTAAGAACAATGGCCCCTTGTAGGGACTTGTCCATTACTCAGGAAACACTAAGAGGAAATGCTACAAAAAAGTATTTTCACTGTGACCTCCTCTGTATTTCAGGTTTTTATCCAGAAAACCCTTTTAACTCATGCAATGTTAGTTTAATGGCTTCATAGCACACATTTTCTCTGTTCCCCAAAGGCTTTCAAATAATCCTGTGCTCCCTGAATCTTTCTTTTAAAAATATGATGGGTTGAATGCAACATCTTTCAGAAAAACACACACACACACACACACACACAAAAACAACAAACAAACAAAGAAAAAAAAAACACTACAAGTTCTTAAATTGCTCTTCACAAAATTGTTTTCCTTGCAAACTAGATAAACATACAGTGAAGTTCCCTTAACTGCTCTGGTAAGGCCTCATTAGACAACTTCTTATAGATGTGGAAATAGTTTCTTAGGTTCCTTATTTCAACAAAATTCATATCAGAGAAGGCTGTGAAAAGTCACCACTGAATTTCCTGATGTTTATTACTACCTGAACAGCAAGAAAAGTGATAGGACTAGAATAAAAATAAATTCTTAACCAAACATAAGAACATGCTGGGGAAAAGAGAAAAAAACAAACAATGGTGTCTCACCAGTAATCGTAGCTGTCATCCCAGTTGTCAAAATGTACTCGTAAGCGGTCATCCACAATATCTGCTATGGTAGCCACGCACACCAGAGAAGGGTTCTTCCTGTCCACGGCCTCCAGCTTCATTCCCACCTGAAACTCCTTAGGCACTGGTCCATTCTAACATAGCACCAGCAGGGGAAGAGGCACGAAAAGAAACAAGGACACCAAGCAGGACTGAGCCAAGGTGAAACTTCTACAATGTTTAGCATCAGCAAAGCCTAGAGGGCATCAACACTCACCCTCTGGAAAGAAACCAGCAAATGCCAGGAAACACCCAGCAACTGTCATGCAGCTCACATTCCTAATCAAGACCACGGAAACTAGCTCCTCTGGGCTCTTCTCTTTGGATGAGCAGGGAGTTTTTCTTTCCCTTATCAACTTCATTTTTCCCTCTTCAGTTCTTAGTGTAATTTGTATCCATTTAAAGATATACTGTTTGCTGAATACAGTCCTATCAAATGAGGTTTTCTGCTCCCCATAGGCTTTTGAATAGTATTCAAATATTGCTATTTGAAAAAGCGATAAAGACATCCTTTTTAGCATCAAGATATCATTAAATTGATTACTCTAACTGTAAGTAGTGGCTTTCTCAATAGTTAAGTATATATACACTACGTCACATATAAAAAATACAATTAAAAGTATGAATGCTTTTTTTAAGTACCTGTATATATATATATATATATATATATATATATATATATATATATATACACATGTTTGTTCATATAAACGTGCTATAGATTATGATTTATAATAAAATAACTGTTACAAAACCCCAGTCTTTGAATTGTGACAATTAGCTAGTTCTGAGATTTGGGAGTATTTACCCAATATCTGGGGACAAAATGAGGGTTTCTTCTCTACTTCTATACTATTTAAACCCCAATTTTTATTTTTCTTTAGCCCATTCTACTTTTAAAGAAATTTCACATTTCAATAACGCCCTTTCATTTATACACTTATATGAAACACATACAACAATCATGTAACATTAATTCTAAGATCAATAAAGAAAATCTCAGAAAGTCAAGAAGGAGACCTGCAAAGAGACATCATCTGCAGGTGACTCAGGCTTGTGTACCACCCTGGCAGAGGGAGTGTTCTTTACTCAGATGCTCACAGTACCGTGAGTCTGCATGAGATGGACCCTTGTTTTATTCACACTTAACTAAGCTGGGTACATCCAAAGTCTGCCTGAAGTACCTACTTGTTTCAAAATACCAAAACTAACTTTAAAAAGATTAACTCATTGTAAGTAAAAAGGAAAAAAAATTATGAAAGGCATTTTACTTTTAGCCGTTGTTAAATACTTTTTACACAGCTAACTGAAGTCTTTAATTGTACTTTTAAAAGAGAAAATAAAATAGATGCCCATAGAAAAAGGGAGACAAATTAAGGGAGAAAAGTTTCAGGAAGTTGAGTTTCGATAATTTCTTAAAGGATTAAAATATAACAGAATATAGAGCAAATTTTAATAAATGTAAGCTCAAGGGAAATTCTAACATAAACTGAGGAAATAAATACTTACAGAACTTCTGTTCCTGAATAATTTCTTAGGAGCATTTTGCAATTTGCAGGCCTTCAAGTAATCCATCCAAACAAATTTATCTTTTCTATAACCTAGATAAAAAGTACAATTTGCTCAAAAATATCCACAAGAGGTAACCACAAGTATTTTAAATACTTTATTACCATTCAGTCTTCTGTCACAAATTCCATGCTATTAGCAGATCACAATGGTTTACATTTAAATTTCCAAATTGTCTTAATGTTTTTAATGTCTTAAATTCAAAACAGTTGATTGTGGTCTCCCATCGTGCACACCATTCCCTACAAATGTTTAGTGTTCACTAAGCTATGGCACTAGGACCCTGGGAGCTTGATGGGGATCTCACCTCCCATTAAGGTTTCCAGAATGGGTAAAAAGATAAGAGTACCAGTGTTGTCCCCACCCCTGAGGAAGCCATGTCACAAAGACCATAAGGGATCCCAATGATGCTGTGATCCAAGAAGCCGACACTTGAGGGAAATTACGAAAACCTTCACAATCCAAAGACCATTTTTGACAATTCTAACTTTCTGTACCCTATCTGTACAATGTTCCCACTAGAAATGCCTTGTCTTCCATTCATATGCCCTAAGTTGGCTCAAACAGCACTGCAGAAACAATGCAGGCTCAGTATTTTCCAAGAGACCATCATACTGAAAATACAAATTGAACTCCTAAACAGTCTTCAAGGCTAAGGCGTCTCTACCTCCTACCTTTTTGACTTGCTTCTCCACTTGTCTCCCTGAGATTCCTCATCCTAACCAAGTCCACTCCACCCCAGGGCATCTGCTCTGTACTTTCCCTGCTTGATGTTCTTCCTCAGGAACCCTGTTGCTTTCTCTCCCATTTTGTTTAGGCATCTATGGGACCCCCAAGACAGGCTTGTCTTCACCACACTATCTAAAAGAGCCTTCTTACGGCTGGTATCAATCCTTCCCCTCCTCTGAAATGAAAGTCCACGGAGACAGAGGTTTTTACTCATTGTTCCAGCCCCAGTATGTGCATATAGTAAGGACTCCATAAAATCTATGGGATGAATGAGCCTGTTACCTGTCACCAGTTCTTAAAACTCAGCAATTTCAACGGACTTTTCATAGGTCCCAAGGCAGAGCCCAAGGGACACTCTCGAGTTGATTACCAAGAATAAAACATATATATACCTATCCCAGAAGTTGCCATAGTCATTTCATAGTCTAACATGCAAGCAGGAGACTGTATGCCAAAGTTGGCCATGCAAAGAAACTGGCCCATGGGCTTCTCACTGACCGCACCCTCTACTCACTTGCACAAACCGCTGGCTAGGGTTCCTCTAGTAGGTAACAAAAGACAAAGCTGAGATTTTACCATCACAAGAAAACTTGAACTGAACTTTTTTTCATTGCTCCATGTTTTCCATGATTTGGGGGTTTGCAACAATTGACAGTGATTCAAATTTCTTCACCCTGCAGTGCCATTGATATAGTGGGAAGTTTCATTTCAACCATGATTTAGACATTAGTTGCTCAAGGTCTAATAAACTTATGTACCATAAGATCTCCCATAATATTTTATTTCTACCCCATGTGCCTTATCAGAATAATTGACCTAAAAGTCATGAACAATTTTCTTTCGAAGATACTTCTTTTTAAAGAGGGTGTTACTGAGGTCTTAGTGCTCTTTGGGGATCAAATTTTCACACCAGGTTCTCTTGATAGTATTTCATAAAATTTTATTAAAAATAAAACTGAAATATCAAGTGACTCTCTTTTTGATTGGCAAATGCATCCTGGCTTACCCTTAGGGATGTGCAATTCATGCTTGGTCTTTTCACACCACCCTACTGGATGAATGTCGGGGGAACCAGCATTGGTCCAGAAATCATAGCAGCTTAAATACCCATCAAAATGAAGTCTTAGCCGGTAACCACACACCTGCAGCAAGGAAAGTTTGCAATTGTTCATTAAGTGTCATACATTTAAAATGGACACAAAATTATCAAAATATTCAAATACTTTGTGAATGCTAACAATATTTAAGAGCTGATGCTTCCAGCCGAATTTTTTCATTAGAGAACAAATTTATACATGACATCTGATTAAAACTGTGATATAAAGTAGGTATTGTCCTTCAAGAACCTAAAGCCTTCTGCAAAACACAGCCTTTTTTTACTTGCCTATGTACGTATATGAATATACATGTGAGTGTTACCATTGTATACATTCACAAAAAATTAAAAATAATAACTATGGGTAAATGGCAGAAAGATGAGTACAGGGAAGGGAACAGGGTGCGGGGGGTAAAGGAGGGGAAGGAAAGGTACTAGCACTGAATTAGAACAATATATATTCCATGCTTTATAATTATGTCAAAATGGATTCTACTGTCATGTATAACTAAAAAGAACCAATAAATTAAAAACAATAGTTTAGGTGGAAAAAAGGATCCACAATTTAAGTATTTTAATTGAGTAGTTTATTTATTAATTCAACATCTGTCCAATATTTCTTTCAGAATCCCTATCTCTCGCTGTTGGCTTGGATTCATGTCCCAAGACAGTGTAGACTGCAGTACAGAGCAAAACAAAATGGGGACGGCCTTCGCTCTACTATATGCATACAGCATACTCAGTAAAGAGAACATTAAAACAGATACAGCCTCTAAACATGCTGTGCAAGTTTAATAGCTACAATCAATCAAGTGGAGCAAATGAATGTGGCTTCTTCATTGAATGCTATTAGAAATAGAGACATCTCTTATTGATTTGATGATATGTTTAGTAAATATTACATTTTACAAACCATTTACTTTCATTACTGGCTCTTCACTTTACATAATTTCCATAAAATACATGCATTTGTATAAACATATAACAGGAATAATATTATTCATATACATTTCTCATTAGTTCAACTAAAATGTGAATAATTACATTTCTGTTAATAAAAAAATTGTGTGATGATTCATGAATTGTTATCAATCTTAGGTGAAAACCACTAACCAATTAAGTCAAGAATAAATGATGAAACTTACTGGAAACTTAATCTTCACAGAAGGAAAAGGATTCATTAAGAAACATTTTCACCCATCACAGACTAAAATAAATCCACAATGTTCTAGAACTTGTTAATGATCAAAAGTATACAAATTTGTTATTCTCTAGAAAATCCTGTTACCATATGGTTAGCCCAAAACAATAACCATATCTCTCACCTCAGCTACAGAAAGCACACAGAATACAGATGGATGTCGGGGATCAATGCCTTCTAATCTCATGCCAACCTGAAAACCATTTTCGTGCTCCGGAAAGGATTGATCCTACGGAATTTCATGATACAACATTAGCCATTGATATTTCTTCATAACTTTGTATAAAATATTTGGTGTCATTTACATGTGGACTCTAAAACAATGGAACCCAAAGAAACAAGACAGTAGAAAGGTGTTTTCCAGAGACTAGGGTAAGGGGATGAAGGAAGCACTGTTCAAAGAGTACAAAATTGTAGTTAGACAGGAGGAATAAATGATATAGACTTAAGGTGACAGATATGCTAGCTATCTTGATTCAATCATTCCACACTATAGAATATATCATATCATATACTGTGTTCTCCATAATTATATAAAGTTATAATTTGTGTAAAAAATAAAAATATAATTTTTAAAATCTTTATAGTTGGAAGCCCAGTAATATGGAAGGCTGCTCTTACATGTAATTGGCTCTCAAAGATGATTTGGTCATTTTAATATACTTTGAAAGAGTTGAATTGTGAAGCTCTGTGTTCTGTGAACCTCTCACTTATTTGTGTTGCCTGTTCTTCCTTCTGTCCTTGGTTGGTTACATGGATTACCCACCTCCAATGTGTGACTTGGCTCTTCACTGGTACAGTGACTTGGCTGTAAAGACTTTAATTTCAATATAGTCAAATATATTTCCTGTTAAGTTTACACATGCAATCTATGCAGTCCTTCCTGATTCAGGCTACCCAGTAGTAGTTTTCAAAACAAAATGTTGAAGTGTCATCCTTAGTATTTAAATCTATAGTAAAACTGAAATTGCTTTCTCTATGGTGTGAGGTAGGGGCCTGGTTTTTTTCATGAGAAAAATACACTATTCAACAAGTGGTTTATGACTCATCCATACTTGACATGATCTGCAAAGTCAACTCTGATACCCAATTTCTATATATTTGTGGATCTATTCTGGCCCCTCTATACTGTTTCATTGACTTATTTGTCTATTTTACACAGTCTTATTTGCTAATGTGAAGCCTTTCTATTTGAATCAATCTTTATATATTGAGTTTTCTAACTTAGAAATTTGTTCTCTCTCCATGTTATCTAATCATTTTTTGTCAAGGATTTTCTTCAAATTTTCAACAGAATTCAAAAATGCTTTGTTATATTTATTTCTGGGTAAATTTTTAATGTTTATTGCTATTGTCAATGAATTCTTTTTATATTACTTTCTAATTTTCTCCCATTGTTTTCTTTAATACTTACATTTAAAAAACAATGAATATGGTATTCTTTCCAACAACCTTCCTGAATTATCACTTGTTTTGAGCAGACATTTGTGAACAGATTCAGCATTACCAGTCAATTCATTCTTAATTGAAAATAATCTTATACTAAAGGAAAATGATGACTAGAATCTAGTTGTATTAGATCTAGAGCTGCTTTTGAACCACTAATTATCTTGCTATTTAATAGTATTTAACATCTGAGTGTCTATTTTCAGGTTAGAATTTTATTTTTTAAGAGTCTTTTCATTTGGAAATAATGTCAAATTTAAAGAAAATCTGCAAGAACAATACAGTGCAGTAAGCACATGCACAGCTTTGCCTAGATTCATCTGTTGCTACATTTTACCTCCTTTGCTCTATAATTTATTGTCACTCCTTCTATCTCCTATGTCTACCTAGACATAGAAAGATGATATCAATGTAGTTTTGTGTGAACCATTTGAGAGCCCTTCACCTCTAAATTTCAAAACAATTCCCTAAGAGAAGTGTATTTTCCTGGAGAATAGAATGTGTCTTATATAACAACAACTCAATTATCAACTTCTGTAAGCAATACTTTTAATTTAACATTCCATTCATAATCCACTTCTGTCCATTTTTCCAACATCCCTCCCCCCCAAGTCTGCAAAACAGAGCCAGTCTAGGATTAGACACTGTATTTAGTTAGAAAGTCTCTTTAGTTTCTCGTAGTCTGGAATATTTTCCATTAGCATGTCTTTGTTGTTTATAGCACTGACTTTTTTTTTTAAAGAATATTGTCTTTTCCTTCCTCTGAGTTTTCAGTTAGAATGTTCCACATTTTGGATTTGTCTGACGCTCTCCCGCAATTAGGTTTGGGTTATATGCCTTTTGCCAGAATACTACATGAGTGACATGTGCTTCTCAGAATATCACACCCAGAGGTACATGATGTCCCTCGGAGATACTGAGGGACACAGTATTGTCCAATTTCTTCACTATATATATAGTAGCCTGCAAAATGCACCTATACATACACACACATAGATACACTTATTTTATACACCCTAAGGTTAAACCAATATGTGTGATTCTAATCAAACCCACAATGCATGTTCTGCCTTCCTTCATCCATTCTGTACTTTCCCTCTGGCAAGGTCCTCCCATTTCCTTCTTTACTAAATCCTACAGTATGGATCTTACAGTTTCAGAACTGTTTTATTCACATGCCACAGTAATCAAACCTAGAGTTCAAGATTCGTGTGTTGTTTCCCCTCAGTCCTATGTCATCAAAGAGTGGGGTAGGTATATAGTTTAAACTATATATAAACCAATTGGATTCGTTTTCCCTCCATTTAATGCTGTCATGTAATGGAATCCAACTAAAATACAGTTGAGTTCACTTGTTTCAATTTGCTTTTAGTTCAGAAGATATTTTCATTTTTTTTAATGTACAGATAGCTTCCAAGTGTTAAAACCCTACCTCATACAACCCCACTCCACCTCACCTCTTGAAGGTACCCAACTTCACTGCCTTCTGTCTTTTCCTTCTTGAGTCTCTTTTTTGCAAAGAAGTTATGTGCATGTTTTTCTTATTTCCCCTTCTTTCTCAGGCAAAAATCCACAGACTACACTGTTCTTCTCCCTGCAGCATTCTGCACTTCTTTCTCCTGGAGACACCCTGGCCAGCTCACGGAGACTGGCCACTCCTGCTCACAGCTGCAATGTACTCCAGCACATGCAGGTTCCGTGGTTCACTCAGTCGTCAACACTTTCACGTATGTTTTTTTTTTTTTTAATATGAACATGAAACCATTTTAAAAGTACTTATGAATTGGCTTGTAAAATGTTGTTGAAAACTTTCTTACATTCACAGATCATTTTGGAAGCTTCTAAGGAAAAACTTTAAAGAGGATAAAACCCAAACATGAAATGGCAAGAATGAATGATTTCTCAGGGATATTTTATTTCTATAAAAATAAATGTCATGTGTGTGTCTACCTCTCCCAGCCTGCTTCTCACATCTCCTCTGTTTTCCAGCAGATTGTATTTAGCAAGTGTTGTGTGCCTCCCTCCTGTTCCCTGCCTTGAAATCGCTCAGCTCACTTTAAAGCAGCACACACACACACACACACACACAGCTGAGGAAAAAGCAGAAGGAGGACAGACAGGAGGAGGACAGACAGCAGGGGGAGAATATTGATAATGCAGGAAGGAAAGTTGAGAACTAGAGAAACGGACACAACTTTGTTGTTGTTTTAACAAAACTGAAAGATGCAAAACTGGGAATAGGAGGAAGCAGCGTTGAGGACACTCTGCGGTCTGATCACACATGAATGATAAATCCAAGGCACTGGCAATGATTCACATCCAAGAGGAAGATGAGCCACGCTGTTCTCGTCAGAATTTAGAATGGTTTCTCATCTGAACACTGGGAAGCTTCCTGTAATGTTGAAAGTAATACTAGATGACTAAAAGACAGTATTCCTTAGAGGATTTCAAATAAAAAATAAAATGTTCATTTTAACAATCTGAAAGGCAACATTTAGTGAGAAATATCACTGCCTTTCATCAGTCTCTTTTCTGTTCAATGATTTATTCATGACATGACAGATTTTAAAATTTTTCCTCTCTAAAAATCTTATATTTTTTTTAACGTAATTGATGTCTATGCTTATAAAACCATATTTTATGATAAGAAAAGTGAACTGAAATCACACATTTAAAGCAAACAAAAAATCCATTGAATTTAGTCACATAAAATAGCCTGATAAAATAGACCTGATAAAAATAAATAAAGTCCAGCCCAGAGAGGTGAAGGAACTTTCTCAAGGTGACACAGCCAGTTGAGTAGCAGAATATAACTAAGGCCTGAAGACTTGAAAGCCTGCCAACTGTTTGATGTAAGGGGACAGAGCTGGCAACAAAACAAACACAATAAAATCTGGCTCAAGGCTATGGAAGTCTTCAACGACAGTTCCATGATAGTGACATATGCTCTTGGGTTCTGAAGAGAAGTCATTCTGTTTTGCCTTTTTCTTTTCCCAGAACAGTTATAAAATAATATTTTCTAGTATGAAACTGATTTATTTTGTCACTAACAATGGAGAAGCAGCATTATTCAAGGTTCCATACCTCATAGCAAAAGCAGGAACAAATTATATGTTATTATTTTAAAAGCTTGTAAAATTAATCATGAGGTCAATGGAAGGGTGTAGCCAAGCCTAGGGAAAGCAGTGGAACTACTGGCACAACTCCATATGAACTATCAGGTAGAGGAGTGATTGTCATGACATGTGTGTATGCCAGCAGCACTTCTAAGCTCCGTGGATGCTGTCACCAATACTCAGCATGCAAAGCTCACATGATAGATGTGTGCAAGAAATGCTGGACATTTCACTTTAACACTGAGAACCCTACAAAAGCAGACAGACTGCGCTTTATAGTGATCATTCTGTAAGCTAGCTCAGACTGAGGTAGGCGGTTGGCCATTAGCACTATCAGCACATTGGCTGGATGTGTGTCACTGAAGAGAGCTAATGTGCTAAGTGCACGATTCAATCTGAATGCCCACAGGCATTCTGGTTTATTCAAAGACAAGAGCTGCAGTCAACAATTTCCTGATCTTTATTCAGTGTTGGAAGAAATGGAGGCTATCAGGCATGCAATCAAATCACAGTCACTGAGGCCCACGTTTTAAGCATGCTATGCAAAGGACTAGGCAAGACCATGGTCTGATTTCCAAACCTTACACAACAGGTCTCAAGGGAATGAGATTCACAGGAATTTTGTATGCAGATGAAAACAAAATTTATTAAAACACTAAAGACCGTT